GGCGAAACCAAGATGCTATGATCGGAAAAAAAGAAGACCTAAGTGCCTGAATGTTGTTTTTGAATTGAACTGCGGTTTTTACTCAGGTCTTTCTTCTTGCATGTGCTAAAATAAAAAAAAAGTAAAAAAAAAATGGTTGTGGAAATCTTCGCTTTGCAAAAGAATTAAGATTTTAATAGTGCAAACGGTGGTTAAATCCTTGATGCTTTTTCGATGCAAGTGCACGAGCAATGACAACATTTGAACTCAACGCAATGCAGAGCGTAGTCGATCGCAACTTGAGACTCATTTGCAACAGAATGAAAGGACTCACCCGTATCAGAATGGACGAGCAAGGCGTATACGGATACGAAACAAGACTGCTCGTATCAGGGCGAAGCCCTGAATGTTCCGACTACCTTTTAAGGTTTATCAAGCAGTAATAACATTAATAACATAAAAAATTAAATGTAATCAAACAAAATGAAAAAAAAATTCTAAAATTTGAAAATTTTTATGAAAATCATCCCCCACACGCCATATATAGTATAAAAGAAAAGTTTTCGCTCCTTGTAACAAATAAAATATGGCACACAAGCTTCTTCAACCAATTTGGAACTATTTCTAAGACGGATTAAATCTCCAATTGCGCGTTAATTGTCCCAAATCGGCCAAAATGACAATCTTTAATCCCCCATAACTATACAAAAAATGATCACAGGTGTAATATCTTTTCAAATTTAAGCTCAGGACAACAACACCTTTTTAATGATATAAAAAAATTCCGTCAAAAAAGGCTAGTCAAAAAGTCAAAATTTGTCTGAAGAAAAAAAAACCACTCCGAGCAGCTCAAATATTTTGTTACTTTTGTATCGAAAGTTGGAACAATTAGGCCATCTATTCCATTTTATGTGGTAAGAGTAAGATAAATTTTTTTGTAAGAGTACAGGCGGACGCATACAACACGAAGGAAGGATGCATCAAACAACAAAGTAAAACTTCACTTGCCTCAGCTGCCATGCGAGACAACATTCAAAAATCAACACAACTTGGCGAATCATTTTAAAGCATGCAAGAAAATTCCCAGGTTCTTTTTCCTCCCCCCCCCCCACCGGCAAATTTTTACTATTCAAAATACTGTTCACCTTGTCCGATTGTCGTGAAAATTGACACGCAGACTAATTAAGCCATGATAAAGCTCTCCCCCCCCCCCCCCCCCCCCCCCACCTCACTCAAACATGAATTTTATGGTCTAACGAGTGGTTTTACAAAGTTACTTATGAAGACCAAATATGTTAGTAATGGCCTAATTAGTCCGCATGGCAACTTCATTACAATCGGACAAAGTAAACAGTTACTTCAAATATAAAAATTTGCAGGTCGTGGAAAAGAAAAAAGAGCCCATGATAAACATATTTGGTTTTCATAATTAACCTTGTAAAACCTCACCTTAAACCATTAAATTGATGCTTGTGTGAGGTGGGGGGATAGGAAAAAGAGCCAATTCACAAACTGGGACAACAGCAATCGAAGCAAATACACTGGGAAGAGGGGAAAAAAGATTGTCTTTTTTTGTAAAGAAAAGGGATCACGAGCAGAGACTACAACGAAATCTTATACACCATAAAGTCCAAATCCATGGTCCCAGGGCTCAAATGGGAGAATTAATAATGAGAGAAGAACATTGTTCAGTTTTAATTTTATAGAAAGGCCATTGAATAATCTGAAATAAAATTAGAACAGCTTTTCGTTTAAATTGATGCGTCTGAAAAGCTCCTGAAGCTGCTTCATGGATAATTTTTCTCACTTGTTTGATGAAATACAAACCTGCAAGTTGTTGATGCACACTGTAATTGAGGTCTTTGTAGTAGTTAGAACATAGTTGAAAGATGTCCGAGGGAAAAAGAGCCCGGCCTGAGGGCACGAAGTTCCCGAGTGCTGCTCTTTTGTCCGAGGCCATCATCAACTATGTTCTAACTGTTGAAGAATATGTTTCTGCTCTTTCTGAGGGAAAGATGCCAGAAAATTGTGAAAGAGCCCGGAAAATTGTGAAAGAGCGCGGAAACGTGCGCGAAACTATGCAAATGATTTCTTTTTTCATTCATGCGTTCTAATATTTCATTTTTCAGAACATGTGTGAAAGAGCAAAAACCTACCCTTCAAAACCAAATAATGCCACCTACATTAGTTTCGTGGTAGAAAAATTAATGGTACTATCTGCATCCATCTACCTATTTTAGTTGGCATAAATATTTGGTGGGATCAATCGAACAACATGGTTAGCCCGTTTTGATATCAATAGTTGAAAAGTCAAAGCTGCAGAATTTTGAAAGATGAGGATATTTCTATAAGGTAATCTTCTATTTGTTGATATTTTGTGATTGCTTGTCTACACAAAGTTTAAAATTATTCTTTTTTGGTCCTTGCTAAATAATTAAATACCTTAATCTGAGGTGGGTGCGACATTTTTTGGATTAACTGATACATCATATAGCCAAAGCAAATTTGTTGTCCTCCTAAATTGCTGCCTTTTTTATTCTTTTAAAATCCCGCATGATAAAAGTTATTGGCTTAAGTCCTTATTTATTTAGTTTTCCCTAGTAGAAAACATTACTTTTATCCATTTTCTTAACTGTTTTATAGCGTTGTCTACATTGGTCTAGCTTGTACTCTTCTAATGTATGTTGGTAATAATCCGTATAAATTCAGGCGAGGAATTAAGGATAGGCGGGGGGACTTGATGCCCTCTCTCAGGTATTTGACCCCTACCGACCCAAAGGACCCCCTTCAGTACTTTTTAAGAAATCCATTTTCGGCTGACGACCGTGAAATTTTTCTTAAGGCGCTTTTGGCGCCAACATATACTAATTTTGAGGGGAGCGCGCACCAAAAAACGCGTTTTTTAGTTAAATTTTTCCAAAAATTGCTCAAAACAATGGCCAAAATCTTCTCAAAATAATGATCGCTAGTAATCTGGGAGCGCTCGGAAAGTCAATATGATCGATCTAAAAAAAGTTTACATTATTTTCAAAACATTTTTAAAAATCCGCTCCCCTCGAGAAGATTCTAGATCTTCCCATGAAAAAATCGGGAAAATCTATTGTATAAGTACCTTGCTTATAAATTTTTTGAAAAAAAATATCAGTGTTTAGATTCTTTTTATGTTTTTGTTTATAAATTGAGCACAAAACAACTGAGATTAATTAAATTTTTGCTAGTTTCAGTTTACAATGCTTTTATTGAAGTGCTCTATACCTACAAAAAGTTGGTCTGAAATCTGAAATGTCAGAGTTTGTGTTCATTTTACTCAACTTTTGACAATCTTTTATGAACATTAGCGTTTTTTGCTCAAACTTGATTCCATAAAAAGATGAAGGTCTCAAAAACAAATACCAACAAAAAAGTTTATTTAAAATTCGATGACTGAAGTCTATTTAAAAACATTTTAAAAAAATCCCTGTCTTAAGGCATTGATTGCAAAAAACTACAAAATTTACAAGTAACTATTTCCAATTTAAACAAGGATATCCGGTTACTAGGCAAGTAGCACATAATGTTCTATCACAGTCTTAGAAAAATGCAAAAATTTTTTTTTTAAATTAGTGTATTTTTTCTCTGCATGGTGTGATAAAAATATCTGGACGGAAAAAAGCTTAGGCATATTTGACAATCATAGTAAAAAAGTCATTCGGAAAACAATTTTTGAAGAAAAACGAAAAAAAATTGTAAAATAAAATTTTTTTTAAGACTTAGCAGAAATTTTTAACCTCTGTTTTCAAAATGGCGCTAAAAAACTCCAAAAACTAATTTTATTTGAGTACATTTAAGTTTTCCTGGCTTTGAAATAGCTTACAAAACTATTTAAGGCATACACGCTCACACTATATTTGTTCGAAATTAGACTACAAATATAAAATTTCAAACCAAATTTTCTCGACACTGTGAAAAAAATTTTGAATTTTTTAAATGTCGTTCGAATCACCATTGAAAGTGCTTTAGTATGATATAACACTCGACCCATTCCGATAATTACTTATGGTACCAGATTTTGCTTGGAAAACAAAAAGAGCCTGTTCGCTTGCTTTATTTGCTCGAATTAAGACAGAAAATCAAAAATTTCGAACCGGTTTTTTTGACATTGGGAAATCTTTTTGAAAACTTTTTAAGGTGGTTTGAATCACGACTGAGAGGGCTTTCATATGATATATCACTCAACCCAGTCAGATCATTATTTGTGGCCATTAAAACTCTTCCCCATTTTCAATGCTCGGAACAAGTTCCAAAACATTTTCGCATAATCATTTGTATGCACAAACAAAAAATGTTTTTCATTTAGTGTCCATTTTAGTTAAGTTAGATTGATTTTTTTGTCTATCACAGTGGTTATTTCGTGTGCAGCCAGGTTAATCAGTATTTTGTTTATAAGCTAATTTAATTTCAAAGCTGGCAAAAAAATGTCTACCGTTTTCAATCCATTTTTTTCATCTGAGTAAAAAATTTTTAGCCACAAGCAAAATAATTATGTTTTCGCTCTAAGACGGTGAAATGCAATATATTAACATGCATAACAATTCTTTGAATGTAGTTTACCAGTGAAGTTTTGCTATTACATAATCTCAGGGCTATTTACGAAAATTTTTTTTGAGCTCTCCGACAAAACAAGATTTAAAGGTTAACTCTTATCCTTTTTTCAACTTCAAATTATGAAGAAACATCTTGCCACCAAAATTCATTCAGTTTTCTTTACGTACAGAATTGTATGAACATTTATGCTGAGAGTTTTTTTTTCCATGTATGGAAATTTTTACTATGAACATTTTTGATCAACATCAGAAACTAAACTCAAAGTTATTGTTACGATGATGACGAAAACTTCAAACTGGTACAGCGAAAAACCTATATTACTACCTTACTATGTGTTTACCAATAAGTTGGCAAAACTAGAAATATTTCTTAATTGAGCGCTCACAAGGCTGACTCAAAAACGTGATGATTTACAAAATGGCAAAAAAAACTTGTGTACAAATTGAATCTTAATTTATGTGCGAATCAAAATTAAAGTTGTTTGAGGCTTATGGCAGCAGTTGGACATCATGTCATCGGTCGTGGCGTTGAACCTACGAGAGCTGAGCTCATTTCGGCTGTGTGTCTTAACTGCTGTTTTTTGGTAAAGAATTGAGTTGAGGTAAGTGTGCAGAGCTGCTTTGCACGGGTTCGCTGAAGGTCATCGACCCTTTAGAGGTGAAATGACATTGGGACATTCGACTGAGTCGACGACTCATGATTCACTCCCGGGTTGGGACAAATGACCGATTTCCTTGCTAACTGGGGCAGAGAGGACAAAGGACAACCTCGAATGATTTGCACAGTAGATGATGCTGGAAGGGCTCCGATGGATCCTGCGGATGGCATCATTTGAGTAGCAGTATCACGTTGTAACACTGAAGACGGTGTGCTGAGATTAATTCCTATCGAGAGTGACATTGATGACGTCAATGAGTCCGAGAGCTCGGGCGTCGTGTCACGTGATTCATTCATCAGCTGTGAGTTGGAGGCGGAGGAGATAGGGTGATTATGCTCGTGCTTCTTCATGTGTCGTTTCAAATTATTCTGCTGTCCAAAGATTTTGTCGCACACCTGAACAGAAAGAATTTATTATTTAAAAAATAATCATTTTTCTCAAAAAGGAGGTGTGAAACGATTCTAAGAAGCTTATACTTGCTGTGATACTTATCGCGTTATTTGAAATTTTTTTTAAAAAAGGTGATTAACTCTTTTTATTTTTCCACTTTTTATTTTTCAAATTCCATTTCAAACGTTTTCAAACAAGTTGTCAATTTAAGTCGTAATTATTGTAGAATAATTACTAATGATAGGAGTAGTATGCATATAGTGCACTAGGATCGGGGGGGGGTTGTCATACATGGATGACCATTAGGTATAAATCATAATGGTCACCATGTATTAAATGATCAGCAATGGTCACCATGTAATAATCCTAATTGTCACCATGTATAATTTTATACCTAATGGTCACTATGTAATAATCCTAATTGTCACCATGTATAATTTTATACCTAATAGTCCTCATGTAAAACTTCGGTACATTATTGAGTATTCCCACTGAACGTTGTGGAAACGGGAATGGAATTAAGTTTTGGTCGGTGCATGTTTTCCCTTCGAAAGTTTGGGGGTATTGGTTTGTTTACATGTAAAATGACGTTATATACCTATTATATGCGACCAAACTATCTGGTATATAGGAAAGCACAAGATTTTGGCAGCGTAGCTTAACTGTTGGCTGCGGTGAACGATTTCCTTCAAAAATGCATGTTTTATTACTGAATCTCGAAGAAAGCAAAATTCGTCAAGTGCGGCGGCCGCCACCTCTATTTAGGCAAAAATTAATGATCAATTTGACCAAAATAAGAATGAAAAATTTCGTTCAGCCAATTGAAGGTAAAAACAAAGAAAAATTATGGAACACTGAAAACTCTAAAATAATGAAATTGGCTTGAAAATTTCGACATTTCCATTTTCCGTGTCTACAGGAGACTAAAAAATAAACGTCTGAAATCTATGACAAAAGCTTTGATTTTATAGAAAGATTGATAGAGCTAAAAGGTTGAAGTGTCTAAAGATCTTGAAAAACGAGAACACTGATGAAAGCCAAAAGTGCCCATTAATTTTGCTGCAACCATTTCTAAGACGTGTACCTAACTTGTTACTATAAAATTGAAGTGGAACAAAATTTCTTGGGGTCCGAGTAGAGGAAAACGCATGGCGCTCGACTCTCAGCCGAAAGGCGGCGTTTCGAAACCCGTCCGGAAATTGTACTGAAAGGAGGCAACAGTAGCTGGTATGGTGATATCCCCCCATAGATCGATTTTGTACTTTTTTTCTCACTTTGATAAAAAGCTTAACTTCTCGAATTACTGCTATTCAGTTAACAATTGGGTAAAATTTCAATTACTAAAAGAATGTATTGTTCAAAATTAAATTGTAAAATGTATAAATCAACCATATTAAATGGTTGGTTAATGGGTAAGCATGTGAGTTAGGAAACGTTTCAAAACATGATCAGTTATGTAAACAAAATCAGAAGCATCACCATTAAAGTTTTTATCAAAAATCAAATGTGCAATATAAATACAAAAAGAACCGCACATGGTAGAGTTTGAGTCTTGCATGGGAAAGTTTGTCATCAATTCAGTCACTTGATGAAAATTCTCGTTCAATCGTTTATACAGATTGGTGTACTGCCAGAGAGGAAGACCGAGAGGATCAGCGAAGTATAAAACATTTCTTCTGTTGCATATCACAATCCAATGTGTCCCCGGAGAATCTGATTTTGAAGTGTTCACAATCATAAAGATATTGTTTGGGATGAGAGGTGGAAAATTGTCGGCTGCAAATACTCCAAAAAACTTATATTTCAGATGTTTACAATTCTGGATGAGGTCCTGCAACTGGGTTTCATCCATTTTCAGACTGTCGAAATGGGAAGGACGTTCTTTGTGACTTTGCGGTCGGAGGTAATAAATACATTGGATGAGCGTATACCCCAAACAAAAATTTCCAGGTTTGCTGTCAAAGCGTTTGAGAATTGAAGATCGAGTGAAACTGAGCAGTTAGTAAGTTCTGGATGCAAGAAGTCATGAGCTGCCTGCTGTGTGCTAGTGAGATCAAAACACATAATAAAGTGCTGTTGGTAGTTATCCAGAGTGATTCCCAGCCCGCAGTGCAACAAACCCAGCGCTGATAGTGTGTTGAAGAAGAGACGTTTATGATCTTGTGTACTGATTGGTGTACTTGCTATTGGTAAACCATTTCGTCTCAAAGTAACTTGCTCCAATCCAAATTTTTGATAATGAAAAGGATTCGTTCGGTTTGTTCCTAGAAATGCATTATTTGTGTTCAATGCTATGATAATTTGTCTCACCGGTTCACGAGCAAAAATATCTTCCTGTTGCCAGCTGCGCTGACCAGCTGTTGCAAGAAATGTTTTTGTAATTTCTTCTTGATATGGGTAGTTCGCAGGAGTTTTGAGCAAAGTTGATTCAATGGCAGAGAGCACGTGGTCAGTCACAGTCATTTTTCTAACATATAGGTTCGCTTCGAGTATTTGCAGCTTGTAATGCTTGGCAGCATCTTCCGATATAATGAGAAAGTCTTCATGAGAACGTCTGTAGGAAAGTCTGAGGGTAACACCGCTCAACAAATGCTTGTCACATGTGAAAAAATCAACTCCAGCGGGTCCATAGAACCAAATTTGCCTCGATTCACGGACCAGTTCTCGTTGAGATGTGAAATCAGCTGCATCGATTGCAGCGGGATTGTTTTCAAAACGATATCCCTGACACTTAAGCCATGAGTCCTTGGCTCCTTTGCTGTTAGAAAATTCTGTTCCAATAAAGCTTTTATGCGCAAAATTACTATTGGCATTTGAGATTTTGAGTCCATTAGCAGAGAGGGTACAGTCAGAGAAAAGGGAATACAGGGAGTTGTTTACGATGAACGGTGAATCAGACACAGTAGGATCAGTGTTGTCGTATCGCAGATCAGCTCCATTTGATTGCGTTACTTTGCATCGTATTTCCAAATAAATTTTTTGCAGGTCAACAAAATTATTACGGTCACCGGTGATTTCAAATTCAAGCATTGGTCCATTGGGTGAATAGACAGGTCCAATTTTTTGATCAAAAGCGTTTTCAAAAGTAATCAAAAGAGGTTGTTTTTCAAACAAATCCAGAGAGCTATGGGTAGCTTCATTGGGTAACAAATTAGCGATCATTTTTTATGTTTGAGAAAAAATCTGCTCGACTTCTCACTGGTCTGGTTTTTCTTCGAATGGTTGTTTTTCTTTTTCGAGCCCCTACTGACCTTCTTCTTCGTAATCCATTCATTGGTGTCTTTCGACGACGACGTCTACCACCACCGAGTTGTTTTCTTGCAGTTTTTGTGACAGTGTTTTTCAATGCTTGTTTAGGAGACTTCTTTTTCATAGCGACATCAATTAGTTCTGGCGCTGCACTCATCAAAAGTTCTCTGCCCAGTTTTCTCGCAGCCGGTAGAATAACCCGTCGTGCAAACGGTATAGCAACACGACCAATACCAGCAGCCAAAGCGCCAAATCCACTGCCGCGTTGTCGGTAGTGTCCAGAGAAATGAGGAAGTGAAGCTTGCTTTGCATAATATTGTTCCATTGGTTTTCAATCAAAGCGCTTGAATTTTAGAGTCAACACAACTTTACCAGTTCCTGCAAAGGGCACTAGTCTTCCAGTTTCTGTGCGCAACTGTACCGATATTGATTGTACAGATGAAGTGAATAATTTTTTGTAGTCTAAATTAGTGAAGTTTTTTCGATGATTAGGTTCAATGCTGCAGGCACTACCGTTTTTGATGCGTCTATTTGAATCAATGACGCGTAACAATGGGGCCTTTGCATCACCAACAGTTTGGTATTGAATAATGTCAATATAGACAAAAATTAGACTTGTCCCACTTGATAAGTCATATGGGAAATGAGATTCGTACAGTTCGTTTCCCTCATAAGATGCATCGAAGGAGGGTATCATTTTGTAACCAATGTGATATTCACCGTTCTCATCAAGCTTTGCATTGTAGCCTAACAGACTGGGTATTTGGGGACTTGGGAATGAGATTCCTTCATTTGCGTTCATCCAAATGCTCATGCTATTCGTGATTTCTTGAGGACTCGCATCAAAATGAATTTTGTCTTTGAGTTTTGTTTTTATCTCATTAATCAATTGTTCTATAAAAGTGTACTCTCCTGATTTGATAAAAACTTTTTCGCCATAGTAGGGTCTGGAAATTGTATTCCGATTGCCAGCGTTGGATTTACTGGCTACTACTTCGGATGCTCTGAAGTACGTAAATTCCTCATCAGTAACATTGTTTAATTTTGTGGGGAAAATTATTTCTGAGAGAGCAACTCTCCAATCTCCGTCTAAAGCTATTTCTTCTTTACAAAAATTTCTAAAACTGGCCAAAGTGTTGCCTGGGAAATAATCCATTGATGCTGTTGAAATCAAATGTACAGTAAACTCATCACTGCCCATTTTCGTTATAATCAGCTTTGTTTCCAATTAAACTAAGTTCTTTTTCATAAAATTTTCCGCTGATTTCTTCCTTTTCCGCATCAATGAGACTGTATGTTGGAGGGTTTACAGTAGGAATGGCAGCTATTTCAAAAACTTCGTCTGTAAAAATCTGCTTGTAACCTTTTCTAAAAGGCAAGTCAGTCTTCGCTATTCGAACATAGTCACCAACATAAAATTTTGGTTTCTGTACCAACTTCGATGAACTGTTTGCAATTAATGAAACTAAAGCAGGTACATGTTTTCTTGTGACCTTGTTTGGAGCCAATTTTGTTACTCTATTAACGCGTGAGTTAATCGTTTGAACAAAACTTTGTAATTTTTCAATATAACTGTAAGTCCATTCAAACTCCAAGTATTTGTACATAATACTTTTCAGCGATCGAATGTTTCTTTCGGCAAACGCTGATTTTTTTTCACTGTGAGTATTGTATTTGATGATTTCTCGTTTAGTACATAACTTTTCGAACTCTCCTTTAAACTCGGTGCCTTTGTCAACCCAAACTTTTTTTGGTT